TGTGGGTCACTACCTCAGCACAGCTGATGAGTGGTGTAGGTCCACGCCGGGGATCTGAACCCACAAACCCTGGCCACCGAAGCGGATCACACCGAACCTAACCACTACACCACAGGGCCAGCCCAGATACTTACTTTTTTGAAAGAATTTATTTTATAATTTTATTTATTTATTTATTTTTTCCCCCAAAGCCCCAGTAGATAGTTGTATGTCATAGTTGTACATCCTTCTAGTTGCTGTACGTGGGACGCAGCCTCAGCATGGCTGGAGAAGCAGTAGTCAGTGTGCGCCCAGGATCCGAACCCGGGCCGCCAGCAGCGGGGCACGCACACTTAACCGCTAAGCCACAGGGCCGGCCCGAAAAGAATTTATTTTAAAATGAATTTGGAAAAGATGTTTTCTAACACCTATCATTTTCCCATAAACTCTTTCTTCCTCCCTTATTTTTTCCAATATTAGTTTCTAAATCTTCAAAACTTATCTTAATTCTTAATTCATTATCCTTTCATTATATGTGGTCAAACATTCAAAGTCCTTTCCTATGCCACCCCTCACACCTTCATATAATCTTCATCAACAAAACTTAGTTATTCAAGAGCACCAAGTAACCATCCCCACATTCTGTAAGCCCTTCCAGAAGGATGATATGAAAGAAAAGGGTTGGAGAAAGCACCTAACAAAAACGAAACCCTTATGGTTCTTGCTTCCTTACCCTGTTGTTGTTTTTGTTATTTAAATCTTTAAACTGTTTAACATTAACTTTGTATATTTATGCAGTAAAGATGCAACTCGGTTTTCTCTATATAATGAGCTAGTTTTCTCAGCATCATCCACTAAACAGTCTATCATTTCCACAGTGATTTGTGAGACCCCTTCTATCATTATACCAAATTCCCATAGATTCTGTTCCATTGGTCTACTAGCCTATTCCTGACTCAGTATCATACTGTTTCTATTACTATATTTATATAGTATGTAGTAATGCCTGATGGCCTTAAAGCTTCCTTCCTCTTTGCTCTTCTTTTCTAAGACTTTCTTAGCTATTTATTCTTCCTCAAGAAGGTTAGAGTTCCTTAGTTGAGTTTTCCCAAAATCCTTCTGCTGGAATTTTTGTTGAAATTGAATTGAACATGTGTGTGTGTGTGTCTGTGTGTGTCCACATTTAACATTTTCTGATAGTCTTATACATTCTTTGATAGGTTAATTACTAGATACTGTGAACCGTGTCTTGTTTTCTACTACATATTCTCATTGATAATACTGCTGAGAGTAGAATTACATTATTAAATTTTTAAAGTCAGTCTTGTATTTGTGTATCTTGGAGCCTCCTCTACTTCTTACAAGATGAAAAATGCCTCAGAGAATATATCCTATACAGGATCTAGTTGTTCTACAGAAGAATGGTGGGATAAATAGAATCCTCCCAAAATTCAAATCCACCTGGAACTTCAGAATATGACCTTATTTGGAAATAGGGTCTTTCCAGAAGTAATTAGTTAAGATAAGGTCATACTGGATTAGGGTGTGCCCTAAATGCAAGGACTGTTGTCCTTATAAGATGATGAGAGGACACACAGAGAAACACACAGGGAAGATGGCCATGTGAAGATGGAGGCAAAGATTGGAGTGATGCATCAACAAACCAACAAATGCCAAAGTTTCCCAGGAGTCACCAGAAGCTAAGACGAGTCAAGGAAGGATTCCTCCCCAGGGCATTCAGACGGAGGATGGCCTGCTGACACCTTAATTTCAGACTTCCAGCCTCAAGAACTGTGAAAGAATAAATTTCATTGGTTTTAAGCCACCCAATTTGTAGTAATTTGTTATGGCAGACTTAGGAAACTAATACAAAGTCTGCTACAATACTAAAAGTGGACATCTTATATATCCATTTATACCACTTTTTTCCCCAAAGACATGATATTGCTGGATCTTTATTTTTCTATATGAAAATATCAGTCATTTGATTGGTGGGTTTAAACTCTTAGCATTCTTCATAATCACTGTTACGTTCAGACTTATTTCTGCCATCTTATTTCCTGTTCTCTATTTTCAAATATTTCTCTTTTTTTATTCTTCTTTACTAGTTTCTATTGGATGGGTCAAAGTTACTTCTATTTTTCTTCTTCTGATGGTTATTCATAACTTATTAAGACCCATGCTTAGGTTTGTTTTTCTCCATTAATTTCTAAACTTAATTACTATATATATATCCTTTACAAAAGTCATCTCTGCCCTCTGCCACCCCTTCATCAGTTTGCCATCTTCCAGAATTTGATACTATATCATTATTCTTTTTTTCCTTTGGACATTGCTTATTCAGACAACAGATCTTACTAAGTTGCTAACTCGCCTGTAATTCTCACATCAAGTAAGTTCTCTGGAGCTATTCATCATTTTGTTAGAATACTTTCTCCAAGGGTGTTTTCAAATTATGTCTCTGTATAGTATACCTTTTGAGAACTTTTATGCCAGAGAACATCTTTATTTCACTCTCACATTTCAATGAGAGTTTGGCTAGATATAAAAGTCTAGATTCAAATTTCCCTTTTAAAAAGAACTTTGGAGGAACCTGCCCCGTGACGTAGAGGTTAAGTGCACGTGCTCCGCTGCTGGCGGCCCGGGTTCGGATCCTGGGCGCACACAGGCGCACCACTTGTCAGGCCATGCTGTGGTGGCATCCCATATAAAGGGGAGGAAGATGGGCACAGATGTTAGCCCAGGGCCAGTCTTCCTCAGCAAAAAGAGGAGGATTGGCATGGATGTTAGCTCAGGGCTGATCTTCCTCACAAAGAAATAAAAATAAAAAATAAAAAGTACTTTGGAAATATTACTCTACTGTTGATATTGAAAAGTCAGATGTGAATCTAATTCTTGTTCCTTTATAGATGATCTGCTTTTTTCTCTCTAGAATTATCTTTTCTTAAATTTCACTTTAAAAATTTCACTGTGAGGGCCGGCCCCGTGGCTTAGCGGTTAAGTGCGCGCGCTCCGCTACTGGTGGCCGGGGTTCGGATCCGGGCGCGCACCGACACACCACTTCTCTGGCCATGCTGAGGCCATGTCCCACATACAGCAACTAGAAGGATGTGCAACTATGATGTACAACTATCTACTGGGGCTTTGGGGGGAAGAAAAAAGAAAGAGGAGGATTGGCAATAGGTGTTAGCTCAGAGCCGGTCTTCCCCAGCAAAAAGAGGAGGATTAGCACAGATGTTATCTCAGGGCTGATCTTCCTCACAAAAAAAAAAAAAAATTTCACTATCAAAGTGTTGTTTTCCCCTTTATCTCTCTTGTTTGGTATATAATAAGTCCATTCAATTTTTCCTTAATTGTGGGGAAATTTCAATTAGCAATTCTTCAAATTTTAACTTTATTTTCTTTCTCTCCTTTTAGGGCCCCTATTAATCAGATGTTGACACTTATTCTATTTTTCATACCCTTTAATTTTTCTCTCATTTTTCCAATTCTTTGTCCCTTCTTGATGACTTCTGGAAACATTTCAAAACTCACTCCATCTCATTAATTCATTCATCAACTGTATTCATTCAACCCATGAATTAAGGTTTTCTTTTTTCTATTATATCTGATTGGTTCTTTTTATAACTTCTTGTCCTTGCTTAACGTTTCCAATGCCCTCCGATATGCCCTTGAATATTTATTAGGATTCTTGCAAATTCTTGTTTTCTCTGGTTGTCTTTTTATGTTCAGTAGAATTAGACTATGTCATAGAATCACCAAACATCTCCCATTCGTTTATAGAAAGAGTTATAGTTTTTTATGGGTATGGGAAGGATAATAACGGCCCAGAATGGCAAATAACTATAGAAAATTTAATTATTTTCAAAACTTCTTGGAACTTTAATATTTTGTGATTGTTATAATAAATCTTATTTTCCTTCCTCCCCTTCATAGACCTGTATAATTTTTTAATTCAAAAATTATTAAAATTTAGTCTTGAGGATTTCTTAACTGAACCCTAACTAACCCCCAAGATAACTAGAGAGGCCTCTTGAGTTTTACAAAACCAGTTTGGATATTGTTGATCTAAAAATGTAATAGAAGTTGGTTTGACATGTTCTGTGGAATTATTTTGTTCTGCCTCCATGTTCTTGATATATCAATATTTGTATCTTACCAGAAACCTTTACAGGTGTCTAGCTCTTTCTTTAGATCTGACATTCACTTATTCCACAAATATTTGTTGAACACTTGCCATATGTTGTTCTAGTTGCCAGGTACCCAGCAAGAAAGATGCCGTCCCTGCCTTAACGGAGCATTAGAGTCTGATAAAGAATCCAGATTGAATGTAGTTTCTATTAGAGCAGGGATTTTTTTTTTCTGTGTTGTTTTACAGTGTTTCCCAGGCACCTAGAACAGTGTAAATATTGGTTGAATGTTAAATGAGTAAATTTTTGGCACTAATTACAAGCATGTTGAGCATTATGGAGGGAAAGAGCAGGCGTTGTGGCTTATATAAACAGGAGGCTCTACCTGCTCTGGGGGATCATACAGAATTAGTTCTCCAGCTGATGGAGCCATCCTTTTAGAGTGATTTATGAGGCTCAGTTAAGCAGTCAGTACCTATTTCCTATTCGGGCTGCCCTCCTATTATGCATGGAGGCTTGACCCACCTTGGATGTTCAGTATTGATGTCTATAAATGAGAAGTTAGATGAATTGCTTAATAATACCATATGTTTATAGAAATAAAAGAAAAATTACAGGGCCAGCCCCAGTAGCCTAGTGGTTAAGTTCAGCATGCTCCACTTGGGCGGCCCAGCTTCAGTTCCCGGGTACGGACCTACACGGCTCGTCAGTGGCCATGCTGTGATGGCTACCCACATACAAAATAGAGAAAGACTGGCAACAGATGTTAGCTCAGAGGGAATCTTCCTCAGCAAAAAAAAACAAAAAAGAAAAATTACAGTTTAACGATGTTGATTCGTGTTTCTTGCTTCTTGCCCTCTTCTCCACCCTGTTTTCTTTTCTAATTTGCAGATGAAGGAGCTTCTATGCACCCTTGTGATGATACGTACTGTGGACCTTTCCCAGAATCTGAGCCAGAAGTGAAAGCTGTAGCTAACTTCCTCCGAAAACACAGGAAGCACATTAGGGCTTACCTCTCCTTTCATGCATACGCTCAGATGTTGCTGTATCCCTATTCTTACAAATATGCAACAATCCCCAATTTTAGCTGTGTGGTAAGTATTTGACTCTGTACATGTGTGTCAGACATGCGAATGCTTTTCTAATGCTAAGATGGTTCTAAGTAGTAATGATAATAGCAGGCACATATTGTGTTTATTCTAATAAGCATTTTATATATTAACTCATTTATTTTTCATAATCATTTGAGGTAGGTAACTATTATTATCCCCATTTTACAGATGAGGAAACTGAAACCTAGAGAAATTAAGTAATTCTACTAAGAACATATAAGTGTCCTAGCCAGGATTCAGCCCCAAATCCAGCTCCTGCACTGTTGCTTTTAACCACTGGGCTATGCTGCTTCTCAAGTGCAATCATTTCAAACCTATTTACATTCTTGCCACAGGTTACACAGAAAACGTCAGGATGGTTTTGATTAGTATTACAGCTTCAATCACATATGCAGGGCTGTAATTAACTTTATTGAGTAAATAATTGTTCATAAATTATGGTCTGACTCTCATTAATTAAAAGCAAGTTTTAATTTATAAGCGGTATTTGCTTAATGCCACTAAATCTCTGGGCATGTATCTGACAAGTTAGTGCTAAGAATGAACAGCCTTTCAGGCATAAGATTAGCTGAAAGTGAAAAAACAGAATTCCTTTCTCTCATCTCGGAAACCCAAGAAGCTATTCACTATAGGGCATAATTCCTCATAAAGTGAGTCTGGATCAGAACCTATAGCATCTAAAGGCCCATGAAGTTCAAAACCAGGCCAAACTAATATATAGTGTTAGAAGTAAGGAAGAGGGAGGGAGCAGTGATTGGGAGGAGGCATAGGAGGGTTTTGGGTTGCTACTGATGTTCTACTCCTTGACCTGGAGGGTGGTTACATGAGTGTGTGCAATTTGTGATCATTCATTGAGCTATAAACTTGAAATTTGTATACTCTTCTGTATGTACATTATACTTAAATTTAAAAGTTTTTATAAAAGAGAAGGATCCTCTTTGTCTCTATACCTTCAAGTCCAAATCCTGTACCAGTTGCTTGATGTTGCAGCAATTCCTGACTTAGATGTCCAGGACCTGGAAGGAATAGGGAACATGAGGAGATCAGAAGAAGGCCTGGGGAAGGCTTGTGTTCTGTCCAAAGGAGGAACTTTGTTCTTGGCATTCCAAGCAAGAATTCTGAGCAAATTCTCTCTCTCCAGAAATATCGTAAAGGTGGTAGTTATATTTGATAGTGCTATTCTTCAGCTAGTCTTTGGGTCAAATAGGCTTGCTGTTGTCGACCTGGCACCCTAACCACCTTGTATCACTATCTTTCTGTAGGCAAATGTTTAGCGCTTTCTAAATAGGGCACAGTGTCTACTTAGAGTCTCACAACAGATTACATGAGATATGCAGTATATTAAAATTATTACATGAGAAAGTTCTCCTTATTTTGAATTTATCTTCCCACCAGGAGTTAAGCCTATTTTCCTTTTGTCTTGGGTTGAAGGATGTGGTATAAAGAGTAGATCAGTTGTTCACAACCAAGGATAAATTTGCCTCTCAAGGGACGTTGGACGATATTGGAGACATTTTTTATTGTCACAACAGGGGTGGAGGATGCCATTGACATCTAGTAGGTAGAGGCCAAGGATGCTACTAAACGTCCTGCAATGCATAGGACAGCCTCCCACAGCAAAGAATTATTCAGTCCAAACTGTCAATGGTGCCACAGTGGCAAAATCCTGTTAGTGGGTTATGTACAAGCTAAATCACTAAAACCAAGACTGCAATTCTGAGAAACTAGATACTCTCTGAATGTTAACCAGAAACCACTAAATTCTATTAAAATTGTTCAAAAACATTCCATCAATATGTAGGAGTCTGTGTTTCTGCTAACATTTTTTATGCCATTCATTAAGTTGCTTTAGATATGGAAATATTTAAATAAAAAATATATTCCTTACTTAGCTGAGGTCCAGTAAGTGAGGCGTAGGTCCTTTTGGACATTTGGAAAGAGGAAGAAATAGAGAAAGGAGGAATTGCTTAAACTCTTTCAAATAGGTGTCCAGCTATGCCACCCTGGAAAATAATTCTTAGAAAATTTGATGATGTTTCTGCTTTTTGTAGAAGGATATCTGAACTTCTCATCAACATGCCCCTGCTCCCGAGTGGCAGAAGTGCAGTGAGCTCAAAAGGCTAAAACTACGCATGTTCTATGTAAATAGGCAAAATTTGTTTTTCTTAATAGATTTTTTTTTTCCTTGGGTTTAGTCATCTAAAATAATGAGGAACAAAAGTCTTCTCACCAGCAGAATGCAGTCATCTTCTAAATGTAGAAATATCTGCCCTTGCCATGGAATATTGCTGAGACCGTTAAAGAAAATGTTAAACTCTTAGAATATTCTCCATCAAGATACCTTATTATGGTGTTTACATTCCTTTTCTGTTGGCTCCTGAGAGGAGAATGTCATGATCAGTGAGATCAATGATAAATTGTCTGCCAGGTTCTGGAGCCTGGTCCCTGAATATCCACAGAGCGTGGTATTTGCTGCAAATGCTGCTGTCTGCGTCCCCGAGGTGAAGGGGGACAGCAGGCTGAAGCTGGGCCCACACACAGCACCGTGTTGCCCAGAGGCCTTCAACCGACAGATTAAATTATTCACAGGCCAATTGAAACGGGAGAGTTGTATACTGGTTTCAACACACTTCTTTTCCTCTCACCGGTCATACAATACTTCTCTAACTCCTTATTGAAACTAGTGCCTTTATACCATTTGAAAATGTTTTCAAGGGTGTTCAGTATCATTCTAGTTCATGTTAGAAGAGTCACCTTTTAGTATTTTGATTGTGTTGAGTATTTTTCCTGATTTTTGGCATTGGTAGGAAGAGTTCCACCTCAAAATGTCTACATCTTAGCAGTACCTTGCTGAGCTCTGTCAGAAGTCATGACGCAGTCTCAAATTGTTGTTCCCATTCCCAGTAGGGATAAACACATAGCATAAGAGAAGTCTTTCTTACCGAATTAAAGGGTTTTTTAATTTGTCCAAATGTGTTTTAACTTTCTTGTACATAGCCACGGAAGTATGTACTTAAGCATCGATAAGATTATCTAGATACTCTTGCAGATCTATGCTTATTCAACATTCATGCAAGAAATATTGATTAGACATCGGTTATACCCAGGCACATTGCTAAATACTGCATGAGTGGCTATGAGTAGGACTGACATGGGCCCTCCCCTGTCAAAGCATTTTGTAATTTATAAAAATAGCTATCTCTGAACTAAAGTTAAGAGGACAGAACACTAAATCAGTGTCAGAAGATATGGGTACTTATCCCAGCTCAACCACTCCTTGCCACCTAACCCCATCTTGCCCATTTAACCTCGCTGAGCCTTCCTTTTCTCGTTTGTAAAATGGAAATATTACTGATCACTGTCTTATTGTGAGGATCAAAGGAAATAACGTGTTCTAAAACATATTGCAAAATGCAGCACGTGACAAAGAATAACATTATTATTAAATATAGCTATTAACTAATGTGCCCATCCTTCTTCTCCAAATTGATGACTGATGATGCTCAAACAACATGCCAGGATTCTAAAGGTTTCAATGCAATGATGTAAGTGGTATAAATTCTCCATTTTCCCTCACAGGAATCTGCAGCTTATAAAGCTGTGAATGCCCTTTGGTCGGTATACGGGGTACAGTATAGATATGGACCTGCTTCCAGCACATTGTGTAAGTTTCCTGTGTATGTTGTGTTAGAATCATCTCTTGAACCAGTGTCCTATATAATGACTTCTCCTTAAAAAAAGCGGAAGTGTGCTCCCCCTAAAGTGAAATTTTTGACTGTCAAATTAGCCAAGGAAGATGGAGGGATTTTATATCTGATCAGTTTTACACTGCTTGACAGAAATCACTGTTCTAATTTAAATAAATTCTAAGCAGTGAATATTCTAAGCATGTGGTAATGATATAAAGTTGAATTGAGATCTTATGACAGTAGAAAGTACCAAAATGGGCTCCTTAAGCAATTGTAACTACTGGAAGGGTGGAAATGGGCCTTGAGAAGATAATGAAGTAATGTTTCAGCCCTAAAAGAGCTTCCCTTTTATTCCTTTCCTCCACCATTCTTGTTATGAAATTCTATTTCTTACATAACACCTTCAGCTGAATTTCCCCTTAAAAGGTGATTAAAATATTTATTTTATATGAAATAACAAGCAATTGGATATATGGAAAGAACTTGGACAAAGAATCAGGAGACATGGATTCTAGTCCTAATTCTGCCACTAGTCGGGTTGTAATCTTAGCCAAGATATTAATCCTGGGCTTTCGTTTCTACAACTATTAAATGAGGAATTGGACTACATCATTTCTCCTGACCTTTCAAACTCTAAAATTTATTGACTATATGATGGGGAAAATATGGTGAGAAATCATATTGAATGTCTACATATGCATATGAAAGTTTACACACACAAGTTATAGGTATACGTATGGATAGTGACATCTGATTATGCTTTTCAGTGAGGTAGCAAATTTCTCCTTAATTTCTTTAATCCATCCATCATTATATTCCTAACTACTCACTTTCTTCAGCCTTCAGAAGAAAAGCTTGGTTTGTCAATTAACATTGCTTATCAAGTAAGTTTATCCTAATAATGAGAATGTCTTAAGTATCAGAATTTTTTTCAAAGACTATGATCATTGGTCTCATGACCTTTTTAGAGCTGTTTTTCAATAGAGCCACCCTAAAAGGGGAAATATAGTATTAAAAAAAATCACATTACCAATTAATACCAACATAATATATATTAATTTTAAAACATTAATTTTTTAAAATCTTACAGTTCACCTTTTCAGCTTGGTATCAAGACACAGTCATTGTATTATATTTACCCAGAACAACCTGTTACCATAGAAATGAGGCTGTCACATCACCATGATGTAACCGTTGGCACATATTGTCTCTGACTTTGGCTACTATGACTACTATTTGCAGTTCCAGTGTACTCTAACCCAGAGGGACAATGAAGCCACAGCCTACCTTCTGTCCTTAGTCTGAGAAACAGCAGAGTCATTTAATTGTCATCTTCACATGCAGAGTCATTTAATTGTCGTCTTCACATAATAATTCTATCTCTAACTTGTCCTGGCAAAAATAGTATAAAAAGCGGTATTATCTGAGTAGATGAAAATGCTCTGAAAATTTTTTAAAAATAATAATGTTATATCAAGCTGGATCATATAGTTTTCAGGAAAAAAGTATAATAAGATTCTTCTATGAAACATTTATTCATTTATTAAGTAATTATTAAGAGCATGTTATGCTAAAAATTACATATTAGGCACTTTGGAGTGTAAAGATGCAAAACAATAACAGCTAATATATCCTGAGCACATTAGTTCATTTAATTTTCACAACAACCCTATGCAGTAGGTATTATCTGTTTTTCAAAAGGGGAGACTGAAGCACAGAGAAGTCACAATAGGTGATGGGTTCAGATACAGCCCAAGCCCACAGTCTGCCTCTAATGCCCTCACCTTCAACTCCATGCTGAAAAGCTGGAACATGTGAGGTCACAGGAACCAGAAGGAGAGAGTTGCCAGAATGGATTGTCAGCTAGGTTAAATACTGTTGAGAGTTTGAAAGTGGGATCTGAGGGAAGGAAAAAACAGAGGAGATTAGGCCTGCTGTCATTGGTAACCTTCAGGAACAAAGTTTTCATAGATAGGTAGAGGCAAGAACCAGATGTAGAAACAACATATATAGATTCCCTTTTGAGTTCTAAAGCAAAAGGAAGAAGAAAAAGGGGATAGTATATAGCAGGATCACGAGAAGGAAGTGCTATATATATATAGCAGGAAAGCAGTGCTTAAGCATTTTGGTCAATGCAGATGCAAGAAAGGGGAGTTTAATTAATGAGACAAGGTCCTAGAGAAGGGACCCTCTCACTACCAGAAAAGACAATAACGGATGGCGTCAAAAGATGACACATGTAAAAGGCGAGCAACATTTCTTCCTCTGAGCTAGCAGGAGAAAAGTCAGAGAGCTATGATGTCAGTAGAAGAGGTGACGGGCTGATTACCTATTATGAGTATGGGGACAGTGGTAAAGTGAGGGGCAGGACTAGAAGAGCATGAGAAAGGGTCAGTAAATGAAGGTCTAGAAAAAGGAGCCTAGAGCAGCGTTGGAAACAGAGAACGACTTCAGCGATTAGTGTGAATTTACAGCAAGGACTTCTCTTCTGCTCCTTCACAAGGAATGTGAGCAGAAAAACTGGCCCAAGGATTGAGAATTAGCAAAACAAAGGCAGAAAAAGGACTGGATGAGGTCTCTGAGAGTCTGGTGAGAAATTCAGTGAGGTAATTGACCATGGCCAGGTAGAGAGTCAAATGAAATTATAAGAAGGCTGGGAGGAGTCTGGAAACTACAAACTTAAGTAAAGGTAAAGAACAAGCTCATTAGGAGTGAAAAAATAGGGGAAATAGAAGAAATGAGGAGGTTTTCTGGGAACAGAATTTCAATATTCTAGACCTTGGAAGTGGAAAAGAACTGAGTGATAAGAAGAAAAGTCCACGGTTTGGGTTTGTTTATGGGTAAATGAAGTGAGGGTGGAGATAAACGTTATTGGAATTGAGGCTGAGAAATTTTGAGGTCATCATACTGAAAAAGCATTAATACTTAGACTAGATCCTCAAAGATGATAGCAGATATGATTTATAAGTTCCATGAGCCTGATGCCAAGGAACTACTGTTAAATCATTCTTGTTGAAACAGTATTTAATTGGAAGGATTTAGTTTGGCTTAGTAAGCAAGCACTATATATATATTTTGGAAAGTATACAGACTCTTTAGTGAGGCTGAATTTTTTTTTTCTTCTACTTTTAGATGTGAGCTCTGGTAGCTCAATGGATTGGGCCTACAAAAATGGAATACCCTACACATTTGCTTTTGAACTACGTGACACTGGGCATTTTGGATTTTTACTCCCCGAGGCGCTCATCAAACCCACCTGTACAGAGACCATGCTGGCTGTGAAGAATATCACAATGCACCTACTAAAAAAGTGTCCCTGAGACAGCCCAAGAGTCAGATCAACCACCAGAGACGGAGCTGATACTGCGCAAGAGCTACTTGGTAATGGGTAGAAATTGTTTTTAAAGAAACAGGCAACTGCTTAGCATGAATATCTCTGTGGACTTCAAAAGGACCTTCTCATGCAATTCAACTCTCTGTGGCAATAAAAAAGGATAAAAAAAATAGAGCATAGCCTAGTTTGTTGTAAGAGAAAGCATCCATCTCATATCCCTTTAGAGTCTTATTTGATTAAGGGGGGAGGAAATATTTTCAAATTCTTTTGTCTCGAGAAACGTACAAATTGAGGATTTCGCTTCAATAAATCTCATGTTTTCAATTTTTTTTTTTTTTTTTTTTTTTTGTGAGGAGATCAGCCCTGTGCTAACGTCCGCCAATCCTCCTCTTTTTTTACTGAGGAAGACGGCCCTGGGCTAACATCTGTGCCCATCTTCCTCCACTTTATATGGGACGCCGCCACAGCATGGCTTGACAAGCAGTGCGTCGGTGCGCGCCCGGGATCTGAACCAGCGAACCCCGGGCCGCCGCAGCGGAATGTGCGCACTTAACCGCTTGCGCCACCGGGCCGGCCCCCTCATGTTTTCAATTAAGATCTAGGCTACTAATGATGTTTAACCACTTGGTTCTCATTTGAAATGGAAATGTTTGAAATGGAAAGAACTATATTTCTTAATATATACAACTTACCAAGACCTCAGATTATTCGTATCTTTATCCCCTGGCATTAGTGTGCCAAACACCTGTAAAAATATAGCAAGATAGAGCACTTACAGTTAGACTCTGAGAATACCACTTTAAAAAAAAGAATAAACATTAATTGAGGTGCCAGATACAGGGTTGAGAGCTTTACACTAATCATCTCACTTATTCCTCAAATACTTGAGGTAGATACTACTATTATCCTCATTTTTCAAATGAGGAAATTGCGGCTTAGAAAAGTGATATAGACTTCCATTTCCAGGAAAATGACAGGATAGGTATTCTAGACTGCTGGAAATAACTAAAACTTTTGGACAAAATATAATTTTTTAAATCATCTTTAAAACATCAGACAAAAACTAAGAAAATCTCAGGTCAGGCATGAGTGAAGGCAGGAACCCAGAAAGATAAGTGGGACGCTGTTTTCCTGAGAGCATTTGTTAAACTAGTTGAGTGCAGACCCTGATGTTCACAGCGTTTTAGAGAATAAGAGCAGAGAACAAAGCCCAAGGCTACTCCAAGGTGGGAAGTCGAGTAGCAGAGTCTCCTCCTTCCAGAATTCTGGGATCCCAAAGGGCTATAGCTTCAGTGTCGGGGTAAATTACAAATGAGCCCCCCTACTGTCTCCAATGGATCACAAGGAAAAGCGACTATTTCAAATTTCGGCAAGAGTAGAGAGGGGAGAAATTGGCACCGAGAAATTGGAACCACAAGTAGCCCTCACCCAGGCTTGTGGCCCAAATTCAGACTACCTAAATAAACCTCTAGCCAAGAATTTAATTCAGATTAATCCAAGATTGGTTATACCTTCAAAGTATTTGGTAGAAGCAAATACAAATCCTCTCAGAGAATTTATCTGACCAAGATGCATCATGAACACTAGGATAAAGAGATGAACCTAAAAACTTCCAGAGATGAAAAAAAAGGGATCACAACGGAATGAGGACTAGAGTAGAATGCAACTTCTCAAGAGCACCACTGAAGCTTGAACAACGGAGAAACGCCTTCAGAGTTTTGAGGAGAAATTCTATCCTAAAAATCTACACCCAGCAAAACAATCAAAGAAATGTGAGGGTAAAATATAGACGTTTTCATAAAATTGAGGTCCTAAATTATTTACCATTCTCAGGAAACTCCTGAAGGATATACTCTACCAAAATGAGAGAGTAAACCAAGAGAAAGATGTAGGAGCCCAGAAAATAGGAAATCTGAACCAGGAGGAGGGCACGGAAAAACATCTCAAGGTAATGGTGAATGGAAATGTCCCAGTAACAGCCGTGTGCTGGGCTTAGAGAACCACTGACCTGGAATAGGGAGAGGAGGGCTGGAGACTTCAGGTGAAATGAAACAGAACACTTCAACATGCTCAGAGGCAGGGGCCGACCCAGTGGCTTAGCGGTTAAGTGCTCGCGCTCCACTACTGGCGGCCCGGGTTCAGATCCTGGGCGCACACTGCCGCACTGCTTCTCCGGCCATGCTGAGGCCGCGTCCCACATACAGCAACTAGAAGGGTGTGCAACTATGACATACAACTATCTACTGGTGCTTTGGGGGTGAAAAAAAAAAATGTTCAGAGGCAATTTTTACTTATATCAGAAAGTTTTACTTATATCAGAATTAGTAATAAAAGCACAGAAACCAAGCAAACAAAAAATAATGCAATTGTTAACTCTGGTAAAAACAATGAGTTATACAAGAAAGGAAATATAATCATAGTATACTATGTGACATAGCTATAAATAATATTTATATAAAATAATGTTAAGCCCAAGTATTGATTTTTTTGTTTGGCTTTTTGGGGGGTTTTTTTTGAGGAAGATTGGCCCTGTGCTAACATCCGTTGCCAGTCTTCCTCTTTTTCTTCCCAAAGCCCCAGTACATAGTTGTGTATCATAGTTGTAGAGTTGTAGCTCTTCTATGTGGGATGCCACCTCAGCATGGCTTGATGAGCAGTGAGTAAGTCTGCGCCCAGGATATGAACTGGCAAACTCTTGGCCACCGAAGCAGAGAGCACGATCTTAACTGCTGTGCCACTGGGCCGGCCCCCAGCCCTAAATATTGACTTAACCAAAATCTGTGATATACATAAATGTATTGAAGAATAGAAGGAAGTAAATGTGAGAGGAGCAGGTGTAGGAGGGTTAAATCCTCATCTGCCATAGTAGGATGTCAACAGACAACATCTAAAACGGGGGGGGGAAAAAAAGAAATATCAGTATAGGCATGTTATTTAGAAACAAGAAAGAAAATACTAGAAGAAATAATTTAAAAGATTAAAAGGTATTGCACTAACAAGAGGGAATTGGGAGTAAGGAAGGATGGAGAAGAGGATAAGCCTCGTCGTATTATTTGGTTTTATTTTTTTAATTATGAAAAATATCATACAAGAGTATATTCCTTTTAAATGAAGATCTTTTTTTAAAATGAACTCCCAACTACTTACCACCGAGTCTTTTTGATATTTATAAATGTACGTTGTTTCAATAAAAAAATGAAATCAAAGTTAAATTTAAAAGAAATGTCAAATGAGATTATGCTTAGCATAGATGCCTAAAATATAGTAGACAATCAGGAAATGTTAGTTTTGTCTATGTTTTATGAATCTAATTCCTCTTGTCATCTTTTAGTCCCAATTATATATTTGCAGAAATGGTTCTCAGGCAGGTTTGAGGCTCTATCCTGCTGAGGAATAGTACACTTGGGAATTTAAACTTCAGTTCATCCCATCCGGCAGGAAACGCTCAGAAATGATCTGGGGGGTGGGGAGTTGTTTTATGCTAGCTATTTCTACCCGTAGAACGGGCAAAAGCCAAAGTGTCCAGAACAACCAGGAGCGCCAGAGGCTTATGAAGACCCCAAGAGTGGGAAGACGCTGCTTCGCAAAGGACCTGACAAAGATGCACACAATTAACTTGGTGTCATCTGGTGGCCTTCATGGACCCCTGAGGCCAGGAAACTTTTCCCTTTGATTTGAAGCATGCTACATACCCCCTGCTCTGTTAGCTGTTTCTGTACAGATCCTTTGCTCGTGTCCATTGATGCCTTTCCATCAAACGTTATCACCCCAGTGACAACCCAAGGGGTTGTCAGCTCTTGAATATTCAGGGGGGATACAAGGGTTTACAGATAACCCTCCAAATTCGTTTTTATTATATTTTTAATTTTCATCTATTCTATACCCTAAGTAACAAGATCTGTTAGCTAGTTAATACCAAGAACATAAATCTATATTATTTTTCCCTGCCCTTCACATAGTGAAGGTGCTAAGAGTATTTTCCTCAAAGTTAAAATGAGGGCAACAGAAAATATAAAATCTGAATAATCCACCAACTAGCTGGGTATATAGTTTCTTTATTATCCATATATAGATTCAAGATGAAATTTTGCCTTGATGAGCCTCAAATAAATTCTTCTCAATGATTACTCTCACATTTCAGTAGCACTGTATATATTTTACAGCTCAAGTTCTATAAGTGGGTATTTTAATATTTATAGGCTATTTTCATTTTTAATCTTTTTAAACCAAGCCACAAAATGTACTGTTGGATGATTTATGTTTAAGGCACTCTGCTAGGTACTGTGTGTGAGGAGGGGTGCTAGGAACAAAAAGTTTTATATTTATGTCAATACTTGCTTAGGAGCGTAAAAGTTCAAACGACAAAGAGCATCTGCATTTTGAAATATAGTTTAGCAAGATACTTCCCCCCACTATTATTAAAAATAATTTTATAGATTCTGGTTATGTTGAGTGGTAGCTCTCAACTTAGTTTTAGTGAGTATTTTAGTTTCCTAGGTCTGCCATAACAAAGTACCACAAATTGGGTGGTTTAAAACAACAGAAATTTGGGGGCCAGCCCAGTGGCGCAGTGGTTAAGTTCGCACACTCCACTTTGGCAGCCCAGGGTTCGCAGGTTTGGATCCCAGGCGCCGACCTACACACCGCTCATCAAGCCACACTGTGGCAGCAGCCCATATACAAAATAGAGGAAAATAGGGGCCGGCCTGGTGGCATAGTGGTTGGGTTCGTGCATTCTGCTTTGGCAGCCTGGGGTTCACAGGTTTGAATCCCGGGCACGGACTGATGCACTGCTTGACAGGCCATGCTGTGGCGGTGTCCCAAATACAAAATGGAGGAAGATGGGCACAGATGTTAGCTCAGGGCCAATCTTCCTCAGCAAAAAGAGGAAGATTGGCAACCTAGCTCATGGCCAATCTTTCTCACCAAAAAAAAAAACAAAAAAACAGAAATTTGTTGTCTCACAATTCTAGAGGCTAGAAGTACAAAATCAAGGTGTCAGCAGGGCCATGCTCCCTCTGAAACCTCTAGGAGAATCCTTCCTTGCCTTTTCTTGGTTTCTGGTCAGTTGCCAGCAATCTTTAGCATTCCTTGGCTTACAGCTACACAACTTCAAACTCGGCCTTCCTCTCACATGGCCTTCTCCCTGAGTGTCTCTGTGTTGTCACATAGCCATCTTCTTATAAAGACACAAGCCACATTGGATTAGGGGTCCACCCTACTTTAGTATGACCTGATCTTAACTAATGACATCTGCAATGACCTTGTTTCCAAAAAAGGTCACATTCTTACTTACTGGGGGAGTTAGAACTTCAACATATCTTTT